TCTTCTTCTCTACTCTCTCTCTCTCTCTCTCTCTCTCTCTCTCTCTCTCTCTCTCTCTCTCTTCTCCTCCCCCCACCTACACACACACACACACACACACGCACGCACGCACACATACACACACATTTGTAAAACTTTTATTTTATTACAATACTCTTTTTTTCCTTTTCTTCGCTCTTCTCGTATCCTATCCTCTATTCTCTTTATTCTGCATCATGTATTACTGCATCATATGCATATATATTATCCCATTTATACTTTTTAAATTGACTCGAATTCGTTGTATAATGCGTAATAAAAAAGAAATATTTAAAAATTTAACGACATACAAGACGTATACGTATATGTATCTATAAGTCGAATTTATTTCGCATAAGTACATTATTTGGTACAAAATATTTGAGCATGTCTCGTTATATACGATATGCGGGATGTGTATTCGCTTCAAATTTAACAATTGAAACGAATACTGTATTCGTTATTATATATTTTTTTGTACGCACATGGACATTTAAAAATTATTATACGTGTAAACTTTACCCATATATTGCAAATTATAATATTTGATCGATGTTGAAACAATTTTTAAAATTTGTTTCAAAATCTTATAATTACTTTAATTACTCGTCATCGCCATCTATTTTTCTTTTTAGTTTTGCATTTTTCAAACCGATATGTACAAACATACACGCGAGCACGCATGCACGCAAGACTGTACAATGGAAAATATCGAAGAAAAACAAGAAAAAACATTGTAAGGACGTAACGTTGAAGAAAACAGAAAGAAAAAAAAAAGAGTAAAAGAAAAAAGAAAAGAAAAGTGAATAATATCGATTCGTTCAAATAATGTAATTTACAAGGATAGAAATAGCACGGAATATCTCGATATTTGATCAAATATCGCGCAATATAGTATCAATGATGAATATGAACGTTATGCTCGTTGCCCTTTTTTTTTCTGTACATATTCGTTCTAACTTTAGACTTAAAGTTCCATCAATCTCCAACGTCCGAATCTCCATCTCCAATTGCGTAAAGCAAGTGAAATGCGATTCCTAATAGAGCTGTCCCTATCAAATCACCCGCTGCAGTTAAATATGGTATGGCAGAACTATCTGGATCCATTCCTCGTCTCCACATCCACACGACCATTAATTGTGTGATATATAATAATAATATTACCTAATCAAATCAAATAAAAAATGCAACCTTCTAATCGTCTGTTAATTATTTGTTTTATATCGATTGTATATTTATGATATTGGAATTAGCTATATGTACCTGTACCAAAGCGGCGGTTAAATAAACAATAAGAAATATAAGTGTAAAAGAAGTATGACCAGCTTGAAGATAACTGATGGTATAGCCGAATATTAAATGGCCTGGTATCACCATTGTTAACAAAACTCTAGCAGTTCTTGCATGCCCGCCTATAACGTAATCCTTTTTTTGTAGATAACGCAAACACACGTTTGTTTTTCAAGTTTGACCATCGTTGATCTACGTACCTTTTGCACAAAAAATATGGAATGGATTGAAACGGACGACAAGTATTTCTTGATTGTTGGATCGTCGTCCATCTTTATGTAAAGACGTTGATATTCTACTAGCTTGAACAGCGGCCAAATTACCGCCAACACCGTTTATTACTAGTTGAAATACTGCTACACCTTTGTAATTGGATACAGTGTAATCTAGTATTAAACCACCCACGCTAAAATTCAATAAAATTCAACCCACGTTAAATAACGATATAATTATAAAAATTATATAGATATATATATACATACTTTCAGAATAAAAAACATGGAAATACCTGCTAATTAACATTGCGCATATTACAGGTGCCCAGCCATAATCTAATATTTCTCTGGTAAATGGATTTCTAGCTGCGATATAATACCAAATTGGTGTGACGATAATGTGAAATGTTATCAACACAGGTGCTATCCATGGTGCATATTCTAAAATAACGTTACAAATATTTGATTAATGGCAAATTAATTTTATAAATAATAACTTTACTTACGTTGTATTTATTGCTTGCATATATATATATATATATATATATATTACCTGATGCTCTATAAAGAAGAGACGCTATTCCTGAAAGAAGCATTAAAGTAGTTAAATCACCGAGAGAAGCTGCAATTGGCGTGGCTATATTATCTGGATCGATGTTTATCTGTTTGGACAATAATATAACTGCGACCATCACCAAACTTAATAGAAAACTTGCTATAGATGCAGTAACTAAGGCACTGGCACATAATAAAAATGCATGATAAATATCGAATTGCGCTTCTGGAATCCAACCGAGCACTATAGCAGCCAAAGAAGCCAGTAAGCCTACTACAGTTGCTTGACATTGTATCAAAGCAAGATTTCCAACGATCAAAGCCCATTGTTGTTTCCTTGTATCCATATGTCCAAGATTTACATGGGTTGAAAAACGTGAGGCTAATGTCATTTCTAAGTTTCCTTTTAAACCGAGCAATGCCGGTACTAATATGTAAACTTCAGACACCGTTTGATAGACGGGCCAATGCTATAAAAAAAGAAGAGATAATTAAATGAGATGATTTCGATATATGCATATTATATGAATTTCTATTAAATTGAACATATCTAACATTACCTGTACAACATCCAGCAACATACTGGCAGCTACCATGCCGAAGCCAGCTAACAAAAAAGGCACGAACATTTGTATAGACATAAACCAAACATTTTCATCTTCAAATTGTCTAAATTGATTGTCTCGGGTAATCGATTTTTTAGCATTATCATTTATACATCGATGATCAATCGAAGATGGTATAAGTCGTTGTTTATGTTCTTCCTCGCTTTCCGTTTCTTCGTCAGTTTTTATTTCCACTTCCATAATAATATCGGATACATTCGATCGAAGCGATTCATCACTATCCAAACCAACCATTTCGTTCATGTAAAATTTCTTTTCTGATTTTCTGTGCCTTATATTTAATAAATTGTTTCCATATACTTTCATTCCTATATTAGCATGGTTCATTCTTGTTAAATCGCTTTCCAAACCGTACTATCGAGAACTGTAACGAAAAAATGATTATGCTGCTATTCTTTTAAACTTGAAAATCAAAAACTTGTATCTTAATGTGAGTGTAACTTTTGTAATTGATATCTAATTATCGAGCATTATATATTATTGTTGTTGATTTTGTTTAGATTAAGATCATGATGATCATCGTCGTTGACTATTCATCCATTTTTATTATCAAATATCCTTACAGTCATCTTTATTAATATCCTTATAATTCTCATCATTTGTATCTCTATTCTTCATTTCTTTTTTTTTCTTTTTTGCTCGTTTCCTCGTCCTATCACTATCATCGTCATCGTCGTTGTCCTGGCCATCATCATCATCATCACCATTATCATCATCATCATTATCGTTATCATCATCATTATCATCATCATCATTATTGTCGTCGATCTCATTGTCATCATTACCATCGTGGTCGTTGTCGTCGTCATCATCATCATCATCATCATCATCATCATCATCATCACCATCACCATCACCATCATCATCATCATCATCATCATCATCATCGTTAGCATTAATATTATTACATTGTTCGATCTGAATTCTGTTTTTGATATTCTTTTCCTTTTTTACGATACGATTAAAAATATCAATAAATCATTATATATCATTATATATTGGAATAAAAATCTTTTTCCACTTTTATACATACAATTTATTTTGGAATTTTGCTGTATAAAACTGTTAAACGAAAATAGTATTATACGCGAAAAAAAGCGTAAAAAAATAAAAAAAAAATGTATTATGAAATTATAGCGAAAAGAAAAGTATTTGAATAATAATATTACGAATACTTATTTTAGAAGTATTATTTTTTTTTTTCATATTTCATACATTGTAATTGGATTAAATGTGTATCGATTATTATTTAAAAATTGATTTAAATATTTTTACAATTATAATCCATTGAGATGAAGTCAAACGCTTTATCTGTCTTATAATTAATTGTTTTATAATCCTAATCGAATCGAAAAAATTCGAAAAAAAAAACAATTTATAGTTAATAAGTGAAAGGATAAAAATGTAAAATAACGTTCGTGAGGTGACGAGGTGAGGTTAACGATACAATAACAAATTAATTATTAAGATACGGATAAAAAAAAATATCGTAAAAATCAAAATACGATTGAATATGAAAATAATTAAAACTCGTTTAACGACACGTTTACATATATGCACAGTTATATATAAGTTTTAATGATATAAAAGTGTAATTAATAATATATGTAGAAATTCGTTATCGTTAAAAATGATCTGAATGTGGAAAAATTGTGAATACAAAAATTGTCGAATACAATTTTCTATAACGATATTTCATTACGAAAAAAAAGAATATAGTATCGTAAAGAAAATTTTGTTAAAATGGTGATAAAATTGCGAATTGCGAAATTATTATATTTGTAAGCAAAACAGATATTCCCATTGTAATCGCGTAACTTAATATTTTTAATTTTACACACGAGATATTTTAATTAATCGATATGAATAATTTGGCTGTTTGTAGCGTTTTTATAAATAAACTTTTGGCAACGACGCGAAAAAATATATTGCCAAAGTGACGATACTTCAACGCGAAAACATAACCTCCGATACCGTATAACCTACCTTGAACGTAGAATACGGCTCCATATTTGTTCGTCGTTCAACCACGTGGAGGCGTTCTCACTGTCGGTCAACAGATGAAAAACTATGAAAAATTATATATAATATAAAATTGATTGATATTACGAAACATGATTACAGGAGATTTTTGATTATATATTTTTTTTTATTTGACGTAATATCTCGTATATCAGCACATAAATGATATGATATCTATGTCGACAGGTTCAAACATGTCACAAGCTCAAAATTGGAATTTCGGAATTTGGAAAAAATCGCAAAACGAATATCAAAAATATGAGATCACGTACGTACAATAAGAAAATAAAAAAATTATAACAACAACAACAACAATAATAATAATAATAATAATAATCGAGTTAACAAATTGTTCATGTATGGTACAAAGAAATGTATAAAGAAAAGAAAGGAATATACTTTATCGATAATTTTTGAATTTTTTACACAGAAGAAAGATTTTTTTTTTTCTTTTTTTTTTTTATTTTGAATTAAAATAAAAATTTACACATGTATTAGGATTAATATTTCACCGATTATATATTATAATATCGATATAGTTGTTTTAACTTTTGTCGTCCAATATTCGTAAAGAAATAAAATCAAAATAACATTAAAAAAAAAATGTTTACTTTTCCTTTTTTTTTTTTTCTTGTTAATTTTAGTACGTATCTTAAAATAAAGAAAACGTACAACGAAAAGAAAAGAAATTAGGTAAAAAAAAAAAAAAAAAAAATAAGGAATAATATTACAAGGATAGACGAAAGATAAATACGTTTTTTTACTTATATTATTTTTTTATATTTTTATATGTTCATGTATAGAGAATATCGCAATTTTTGTTGTGAAAAGAAGAGAATATAAAATGAAAAAATAAAGAATATAAGAAAGAAAGAAGAAAAGAGAAATAGAAAGTTTAACATCTGTAAAATATACGTAACGCAATATAACGGATTTGATTTCGGAGAAAAATTTAAATAAATATTCGAAAGAAGATATAAGAGAGAGTTTTATGTTAATAAATGTATACGTGCAATTGTAATTCAATTTAGATACGTTACCCCGGGAACAGAGGGTATATATTCAAGGAACGACGCTCGAAATACTACTACTTTTATCCGGGCACCGGGCATAGTGCCCACAAGTAAGCTCTGTCTTTTCGACAATGCAAGTATCTTGCGAGATTTCGGCCATGTAATTTAACGATTCATTATCGTGTCGTTTTCGCTTTCTTAAAGTTTCACAAAGTTTCGATTATACATTTCTGTTACTTATATATTCGAAATATATATATATATATATATTTTTTAAATAAGATCGAATAATTATTCCCACAATCGTAATCGACAAAGTTCATATAGTTCAAGAAATATAGAATATTTTTAGTATTATTTCATATAATTGCCGTGATATCAAGATTAAGCGTAACGTTTCAAGGTAAGTTTTCCACAAAAAATCCACAATCGTGATAAATTTTTAACAAAGTTTAAATTGCTCGTAAAACGATAATGTCTTTCTCTCTCTCTCTCTCTCTCTCTCTCTATCACTTTTTTCTTTTTTTTGTTCCGCATTTGTTTCCGCTTGTGTTTTAAACCGACATAAGATTTAACAGATATTAAATTTAACGTGGATATACGTGGTTGATCGACAAAGATTGGTCAAAAATGTCGAATCGTCGGTTCTTTTTTTTTTAATTTTTTTTTTCAAAATTACGAGAGAGAGAGAGAGAGAGAGAGAGAGAGAACGACGAA